AGGTCCAAGGGCTCGGGAGGAAGTGGCCTCTGAGTGGGGCAGGGCTCTGGGGCTGAGCAGCAGCTGTGCCCAGGCCCTGAGCCGCCACAGGGTTGGTGCCTATGAGGACAGGCTGGTGGGGATCTGTGTCCCAGAGGGGAGCCAGGTCCGAGGGCTCAGGCCTCTGCAGATTCTCCCGGGGACTGTGGCGTCACTGAGACTCTTTTCAGTGTCCTCCAAAGGCACCGAGAGACCCTGAGGGGAATCGAGACTGGCAGGAGGAAGGACTAGGCCTCCCGGGGGCAGGAAGGAAGCCCCACAGGTAGGCACAAGTGTCAGCAAGTCGGACCACAGTGGCCAGGGTGTCACGCAGTCCTGACTGGCTCCCGGTCCCGCGTCTAGGCTCCGGCCGGGACTTACGGCTTAAAGGCCTGGGTGGCCTCAGACAGGCCCTTCTCCGTGTGAAGCCCCTCCGAGGACCCTGCGCGGGGTTTGGGGGATGAGAAGGGGGCAGTAGCCTCAGGTGCAGGCCACGGCGATGGGAGCATGGGCAGGAACCCACGGGCGGCTCTGATCGGCCCTCCTGGGCGCTTGTCCCCCCGTCTCTGCTCCCGGGTCCAAGCTGCGTGTACCCGCCTCTGCCGCCCGCGCTCGGGCCCTAGGCACACGCAGTCCGGTGTCCCCAGACCCCCAGCACCCATCGGCTGGTTTCCAGCCCCCCCACAGCTCACGGGTCCCCACGGGGTGGCTTAGGGTGACATCACGACCCGGTTTCTGCTTCTGCTGGTGGCCGCTCGCTCTGCACAGAAATGATGACCCAAGAGGTTAGTTGTCTGTCTCTAAGGAGCCTGAACGTACTTCTAACCTTGTGTTAGTTCCCAGGGCTGACGTAACACAAACTCCGGTCAACGTAAGACACACTCAGACCCGTGAAGAACTTATGTGAGTTTATTTGAGCCAAACTGTCAACAGTCGCTGGGAAGCAGAATCTCTAGGGATAGGGCTGGTGCTCCCGAGAGGGGCAGTTTCTATAGATCACGGTCATAAGTGGGTTACAGGAAACCCACTGGCGACAGGTTAGGGAGGCGGGAGGAAGCCGAGCGGGAAACCTCTGGGATTGGATAAAAGGGGAAATGATGGAGACACGTCTTTTTTTCAGGTGGGGGCAGGACAGTTAACAGTCCGCAATTAACGTGATAAAACAATGAGAGGACTTAACGGTCTCCGCCCTGGTGCATCGGTTGTGTCCTGAGGGGTCTGGGAAAAGGGGAGTTACCCTGACATTACAAGTTTATCTTAGATGCAGAAAAGACAATAGGTTCGGTGCAGGTAAAGACTGACCTTTGTCAGGGACCGTACCTGCCTAGTCGCCATAACCTGCTTTTAGGTAAAAAAGTGTTTTCATTTCAGACCATTCTGTGTGGTTTCTTCAGGTCTCCGAGTTTGCGAGGCCGCCCGGCAGGCCGCCCCTGAGCTCCTCAGGTGAGCCCGTGGCCCCCTTTTGTCCACAGACAGGGCCTCCCAGGCGTGGAGGCGGGGTGTCCGGGGCCAGGTGTCACGGGCTGGTTCCTCCCGCGGCCGCTCTCCTGGGCAGGTAGACAGCCCCCTGCTGCAGGTCCTCGCCCGGTCCTCCCTCGGTGTGTCGGTGTCTCTTTCTGTGAGGACACCGGTCACATCGGATCAGGGTCCCCTGGTGACTTCATCACCACAGTCACCTCTTGAAAGACACTGACTCTAAGCAGAGTCACGTCCTCAGACACGGGGGTCACACTCCAGCATCTGAATTTGGGGACACAGTCAGCCTGTTAACCCTGGGCTCATCCGATAGACCCGTTCTGAAAGGTGCACAGTGAGGCCGGGCGCCCTCGGGCACCCGCATTGTGGCCGTGAGTCCTCACCAGGGTTTGCTGGGCGTGTGCTCACCAGGCAGCTGGGCCCCACGCAGACCCCGCTCCCGGGAGCTCAGATTCCAGTAGTTCGAGAAGTGGGGGGTCTCCGGGGCAGGGGAACCTGGTATATTCCTCAGGCCAATGAGCTGCAGGTTCCTGGGGGGCGGGGGGCCCGGGTGTTGCCCGGCAGTAACCCCTGGGATCCAGCAAGGCTGTGGTTCCCACTGAAAATGACCTGGGGGATCAACACCGGGAAGAAAAAATGCCAGGAATGCTCTTTGATGTTGGTGGATCTTCCCTGGAGAGTGGGGGGCGTGTCCCCTCGGAGGGGCCGGCCGGTTTGCCGAGTCTCTGAGAGAGAGCATGTGCCCAGTCCCCCCTCCGGCCTCTCCTGGTCCCTGCCCCGCAGCTCGGCGGCCGCCTGGCCCGCCTCCAGGAACCGGTGGGCGTTCTGCCGTGGAGAGGGCGGCCCGTGCGGATGAGGTTCGGGCCCTTCTCTGTGTAAAGGTTCAAATATGCAGCCTGTCATTTCTCATCGAGAACTTGGCAGCGGCCGTGCCTTGGACAGGATCCCGGGCTGCAGGGAAGGCTTCTCCGGCTGCGCCCGCCAGCTGCAGGGCTCCGTGGCCCTCCGCCTGGCGCTGGCCCAGGCGCCTCGCTCGGGAGGCAGGGGGGTGGCTCCCGGGGCTGTCCGCCATCCTTGGTCTCCCTCCCGCCCGGCCTCTTGTCCTCGGCGACGTCCCCTCCGTGATTCTGGTAAGTGTCCGCCTTGTGCGCAGATGTTTGCCTCTCCTGACGTCGGACTGCGGGCCGAGGTCACCGAGGTGCAACCCAGTCCACCGCAGCGGGGTTGGGGGAGTTACTGGGGAGAGTGGCGCTGTGCTTGTCGGTCCTTCAACCCGGGGGCCGTGGCGGAGCTGTGACTGGTGAGGCAAAGGGGATATCTGCCCACCGTGCCTACCGGATAAACTCGGGGCCCCCCCCCCGCCCCCTGCACACGGGACCCGCCGTCTCCCGCGAGCCGCACTGAGGGTCAGCCTGGGGTCCACCCTTGGGAGGGGCAGGGCTCCGTAAACACGCCGGGTGTTATGTAACCTGGTGAGGAATGCGTGGGGCAGGCCCGTCGGAGCCTGGCGGGCATCCAGAGCCCGCTCGCCCGGTAAACACGTCCCATCCTGCGTGCCCAGTCTTGCTGCCTCTGCCGGGAGAGCCCGGTGGCCACTGCGGCTTGTGTGCAAGGTTGCGGGGCTCTGGGACCCCCCGCCGCCTCCTCCGGGAGCCTCCGCAAACAAACAGCCCCATTGTGCATTGTCTCCTCGAGGGCCCTGAGAGAGATCCGGGAAGAGGGCGTCCTGTCTTTCGCTCCGCACTTGGCTCCAAGGCAGGTTGTTAAGGGGCCTCCGCCGCCCCCGGCCAGAGCTGCTCTGCGCCTTGCTGTGCGTGTGGCCTTTTCCCTTCCTGTCCCCAGCGTCTTCCGAACCCGCCAGGTCTCCATCCCTCCCGGGCTCTCAGCACAGCGGACCCAGGTGTTTTCACGGGCAGCCAGCGCCGTGAATTACGGGCGAGACCCTCTGAGTCATCTCCCCCGAGGGTGGGATCGTGGCTGCTGTGGGCCTGCGTGAGGACCAGCCAGCTTCGTGCGGTGGGAGCTCTTTCTTGGAAGACACATTCCTGAAGCCTGTCTAGACAGCCACGGGGCCACCAGCTCAGTGAAATGGCTGCCTCTTCCGGCAGGGGGTGCACCGAGGGTCCCCCACTTTTGCCATCTGTGTGGCCTACTTGGAAGCTGAGAGGATTCGGGGGGTGCATCTGGGGCAGCTGGCCTTAGGGGGAGCAGAACCGGGCTGACCTTGACCCGGGGCAGGTGCTCCAGGCTGGTCCTCACACGTTGACCCCTGGGCCCGAGTGCTTCACTGTCATTGGTGCGGCCTGGGGCTGAAGCAGGGCTGTTAGCAAGCCGGCCCCTCCAAACACCGGATCAGTACCCTGCGAGGCAGAATTCGGGCGCAAAGGGAAGTGCCAGCCGGAGGTGCCTGTTCACTGCGGGGAAACTGAGGCGCAGGTGGCACTCAGTCGGGCACCAGCCCCTCAGAGTTCACCCCGGGGCACGGGCAGGTTTCCTGTGGCTGTCGGGGTGTGTACCACCGAGCGGGAGACCCGCATCTCCCCACAGCCACCGAGACCTAGAGGCTTCTCACCCCTCAAATGTGCGTGAATCTCACAGACCGAGTGTCGGGGGGGTTTACTCCTGTGTTAACATACAGTCGGGTCCGGTCCCCGTAACTAAGCTGAGGTCGGAGGAAGCCACGCAGGCTGAGCGTGTCTCTCCCCAGACCTGAGGGTCCCCGAGGCTGCTGTGGCCACAGCCTGTGGCAGGCGTGTGTCACCGAGGCAGCCTCCCTGCTTCCTGGCTCATTTCCTGCACCAGTAGTGAGACCCGGTAGCGAGTTGTTTCAAATGCAGATGTTCCCCAACCTGATAAAGGGGCCGACACTAGAGGGGTGGAGGGAGCTCATGGAAGGGGATCTGGAGTCATTACTTTATATCTTAAAGGGGGACCTGGCCCCTCTTGCCCAAAACGTGGCTGTTCTGTGGTGTCAGGAGCAGGGCTCAGGTCTTGTCCCGAGGCCGGCAGGCACGTGGCCAGCGTGAGCAGGGCTGCCCTGCGCAGGGCCCGAGGGCTCCTGCTGGCCAGTGAGTCTCGCCTCCTGGGAGCCGCAGGCAGGACCAAGGGCAGGGGAGGAGCCTGGGGCTTCGGGCCTGTAGGAGACAGGCTGTCACGGTGAGCCGGTCAGGAGGGTGGCGCCATGGCCAGTGGGGGCAGAAGCTGAGCTGAAACGCAGGAGGCGGCAGGCGGGGAGCTTCAGGTCCCAGCCAGCGTGGTTGCCTGGACCCCATGGAACCGACCCCTAGGAGCCGGCGTGGAGGGCGGTGGCCGGGTGCCTGGCTAGGTCACTTGTCTGTCCGTTCTGAGCCCTGACTGTCCAAACCCTGGTCCTGTGAAACTCTGGGCATCTTCAAACACTAGAGCCACGCTCGGCCTGGGGAGGGCGATCCCCACCTCTTGCCACCAGGCCCCTCCCGTTCCTACCAGGGAGGGAGCACCCACCGTGGACCCTGGGGACTGCAAAGGAGCCTGAGCTCAGGTCACATCCCTGGTGGGTCTGAGGCCGGTCTCAGGTGACCACCCCAGGAAGTGGGACCTCCCGGCCGGCCTCTCTGTCTCTCTGCCCCCCTCCCGTCCCCTGTCTTCCTCTCTCCCTGTGTCTCTGTCTCTCTCTGTCTCCCCCCCCCAAATTACTGCGCACCCATAATTGTTCAGCGTATTACAGACGGTAATGACCACCTGCTGCTTTTGTGGAAACAGAAAGGCTTTAAGCTGAAACATGGAGAGTTTAGATGACAGAAAAACTCCCTCACAATCAATTGTTAAAATTTAGGAGAGAGAGGCCACGGATCTATCTCACTTGCCAGGTGTCCTCCACGGAGACCAGTTCTGTGGGGTCAGTGTGGCCGTCTGAGGACTGTGGCACTGCGCACTGTGGTTCCACTGGGGGACACCGGGCCCACAGTGACCTGTCCCGCCCTCCCGGCCCGGCCCTGCTCCTGGCACACAATCCCAGCCCTCCCTTCTCGGGGACCCGTCCCGTGCACACCCCTCGGCGGCGTCCTCAGAGGTGCTGTCTCCGCAGCCACCACGGTCTTTTTCTTGCCACCAGGTGAAGTGTTACCACAAGAAGTACCGTTCGGCCACCCGGGATGTCATTTTCCGCCTGCAGTTCCACACAGGGTCCGTGCAGGGCTGCGGCCTCGTGTTCGGCAAGGAGGACCTGGACAGCGCCTGCAAGGGTGAGGGCCCGCCCCCACGGACGGGGCCCCCCAGACGGCTGTGTGTTCCCCTGGTCTCCGCGCCCCCTCCCGCTGAAATCAGGACAAAATCATGACCGGTCTCAGGAAGGGCTGACAGTTGATCCAGCAGAGAGAACATTCTAGAGAAACTGAACCCCGACCCTGCTCTGCGGTGGGTGCCCAGGGGCGGGGCTCGGGCTCTGCTGTCCTGGTCGGCCCGGGACACAGCCGTCCGAGCTGGCCTGGCGCCCCTGCCCCTCGCTTGCTGAAATACGTCTCTGTTTCAGATGACCGCTTCCCTGCCCACGGGAAGGTCGAGCTAGTGTTCTCGGCCACCCCCGAGAGGATCCCAGGTGAGCGAGGGCAGGCGCTGGCCGGGCGGGCGGGTGGCTGCTGTGTCGGGGTCTCTGCGCTGGCTCCCACCTCTGCCCGGGCTTGGAAATGTCCATAGTATAGGGTTTTGTGCGTGTGCGTGTGTGTGTGTGAATCTTCACTCAAGGATATTCTTTCCATTGATTTTCAGAGAGAGTGGAAGGGAGAGAGTGGACAATCTAACCACTGAGCCACGCCGGCCGGGGCCATTATATAGTTTTTAACCGCAGGATATTAGACAGCGAGAGGATGGGGCCCAGCCTTGTCCTTCCCAGGGAGATTATGCCGAATATTTACTCTCCTTAAAGAACAACCAGATATTTCTGGAGGAGAGTAGAAGTCCTGTAGTCGGCAAATATTAGGTTTAACGTAGATTCTCTTTCTTCTAAAAATGCATTGAAAGAGGCACCAGCCCCTTTATCACCAGGCTCACGATTCATTTCAATCCCCAAGATCCCCGTGTGCGAAATAATCCTCCCGCCTCCTGCGCTCACCACCGACGAGGCGTGAGCTCAGTGCCAGGCTCCTGGGCTCCGAGTCCGCTGGGCGCCCTCAGCGCGACCGAAGGACGAGCGCTGGCCTGAGCCCTGAGCCAGGCGACACCTGCCTCTGTCCGTCGGCCCTGAGGCTGGTCCTGACCTGGGAGGGGCTCCGGGCGACCCTGTTGTGAGACGTCGCCCTCCGAGCCAGGGCCCCAAGTGCAGTGGGTGGAGGGAGGGCCGGTGTCCGCCTTTCCTTTCTGCCGAGCGGTTTTAACAACTGTTCAGTTTTTTGTTTTTGTGAATCCTCATTGAAGGATATTTTTTCCATTGATTTTTAAAGAGAGTGGAAGGGAGAAGGGGAAGCGAGAGAGAAACGTCGAGGTGAGAGAGACACGTCGATTGGTTGCCTCCTGCACGTGCCCCGACCGGGGCTGGGGATCGAACCTGCAACCCAGGTGTGTGCCCTTTACCAGGAATTGAACCCCTGACCCTTCAGTCTGAGGGCCGATGCTCTAACCACTGAGCCACACGGGCCAGGGCTGTGACTGTTCAGTTTTCTGAGACAGTGCCTGCTTGCCTGGTGATGCCAGGTCTGGGGGCAGGGCTGACCCAGGTGCCCGCCCCATCGTCGGGCACGAGCAGGAGCTGCTGGCTGGGCTGGGCTGACCCGTGTCCCTGTCCCCCGCACAGGCTGTGAGCATCTGCGTAACGACCACGGGGTGAGCGTGGACTTCAACACGGCAGACCCACTGATCCGCTGGGACTCGTACGAGAACCTGAGTGCCGACGGGGAAGGTGTGTCTGGTTGTCTTGCGTCCGTTACGCGTTTGGGTCAGAACTGTCCCCCGGGTGCCGGGAGGCTGGGAATCCCGCCGTCCTTGTGGAGGGCCAGCACCCACACCCTTGTGAGTTTGTGGGCGCTGGTGAGGTCAGGCTTGGGGACTCAGGTCAGGCTCTTGGCAGAGCTGTCGTGGGCGGTGGCCGGTCGGTAACGTTACCGTCTAGGAGCTTCCCTGCCCGACCTCATAGTTGCAGGTCTCCAGGGACAGGCTCCCACCTCTCCGGCCCCTTCCCATCGCGTACAGGGAGCCAGGGCTCTGATCAGGGCCCCCCGGGCTGCAGACATTTGGCTTTATTTCTGTCCGCTCGACACCCTGCTCCTGGCCGAGCTCACGGCTGCGTCAGCGTCTGTGTTTGTGAGTCCCTCTCACCCAAACCTGCTCTCTGGTAGCTTCACACAGATGAGAAGCCGCCAGAAGCCTGTATCTTGGGGAAAATGGCCCCGCCCGTCTCTGCAGGTCATGAGGTTGTGGGGGCCGGGAGGGGACGTCTGTGGCCTAAACTGGGGTCCCCGAGCCTGCGTTCCAGGTGGTACGTGGCTCCCTGTCCCTCTGGGCTTCTGGCAGACCTGTGTCAGGACAGAGCACTCATCCCAGGCACCTCAGGCACCTGGGTACCGTGTCCCAGCTTTTCCCTTTGACCCCCAAGCGAGCACCTGCCTGCCTCTTAGGTGGCAGATTCACTGCTCGCACCCCGTTCCATCGGAGGGTCCCCCCGTTCTGCATTCTCACTGTTACAACAAAACCTCCTTCATGGCCCTGCCTCCCACGCCCTGTGGTCCCCCAGCTTTGCTAATCTCTGGGCAGCCACCCTCCGGAAGGCTCACCCAGTGTCCCTCAATGGGAGACTCCTCCGCCCTGAACCCCCTCCGACTCCCCACACGCCCCGGCGCCTCTCGGGCATGAGGCTCCCCAGCTTGGTGAAGGCATTCCTGATGTCAGTGGCTGTCGCTGGGGCCAGCCGTCCGGTTCAGGTTCCTACACGGCACAGGGGCACCCTGCTCCCGGGAAGCCAGGCCCGGCAGGCAGGAAGCAGGCAGGGTCCTGGCTTCGTTGCCCAGGGCAGACGCTGTCGTTAGGTCCAGAACGTGACTTGTGGCTGCCCCTGTCCACCTCCACCTCCCCTCAGTCCCTACCAGCAAATAAAACCCACGCGCCTGCACCCGAGGCTCACGTCTCTCCTGAGAGTCCTGCCATCCGGGCGGAGCCCTGCAGCTGCCTCAGTCAGGCCCCCGCCCTCTCCTCTCCCCCCGCAGGGACGCTGGCTGGGGATGCTGGCTGGGGACACTGGCTGGGGACACTGGCTGAGCTCCCTGTCGTCCTGAGGGTCCCCACGGGAGGCAGGCTGTGGGCTTCTCACCACAGGTGAACTTCCACCTGCCCGGCCTCAGGCGTCCTGACCATGTCACCAGCACAGGATAGAGCACAGACTTTCTTTTTTTATATATATATTTTTGTTGATTTTAGAGACAGAGGAAGGGAGAGGGAGAGATAGAAACGTCAGCGATGAGAGTCATTGATCGGCTGCCTCCTGCCCGCCCCCTGCTGGGGATGGAGCCTGCAGTCCCCCGCATGTGCCCCGACCCGGACTCGAACCTGTGACCTCTTGGTGCTTGGGATGACCCTCAACCACTGAGCAACACCCGCTGGGCAAACAGCACCAACTTTAAATATTTGATAGAACCAGGAGCCTGAGAGAGAAGGCCCGGGGTGCACAAGCTTGTGTGCCCTCCCCTCCCCCCCACATGGGTTCAAGGTCACCTGCCCCCCCCCCTCGTCCCAGCAATGGTCTGGGGCCTCTCCCATCACCCGGAACCACCTTTATTCCTCACTCCTTCCTCTGAAGGTGGGCAGAGCAGAGCAGACCCGGGGCCCCTCGGGAGGAAAAGTCGCCCCGAGTTAAGGGGAAAGGAAGGTGGAAGGAAATTGTGCAAGAAATGCCAGGGGCAGTTCACCCCAATGACAGCCTCAGCCACGGGGATCTCGCAGGGCCCAGGAGCCGGAGCAAGCGGCAGAGTCCCGGCTGACGCTCTGAGAACACAGTGGGCGCAGAAGCCCCGGCCTGTGGACCCAGCAGGTTGGCTGGCGCTGGCTCCCAGGGCCGAGCAAGCAGGACGCCGGCCTGCCCAGCCTCCCGGCCGCCTGGCCCCGCCTCCTGGGCCTCCAGGGTTCAAATTTCGCCAAACCTGATTGCACTAAACCCCACCCTCGTGTTTACATTGCCTGGCCTTTTTGGTGGAATCAAAGTCCCCTGCTCAGCCAACAAGATCCTCCACCTTCGGCTACTGGGGAGGGAGGCCGGCCCATCGAGGGGAGGCACGCCCAGCCCGGGATGCTGCTCCGGGCCGCAGCTCTCCTCCCGGAAAAGGGGGTCCCGACTGAAGGAGCTGCTGGGCGGTGTGGGAGGAAGGTAAGCAGGAGCGCGCCTGTGTGTGTGTGTGTGGCTTCCGCAGGGCCACAAAGACCTGTGACACTGTGACAGCCCACCTGCCTGAGGCTGCACAGCAGACGGATGGGGGTGGGGGCCTGGAGGGAGGCTGGGCGGTGAGCCACCCGCACAACCTCAGTGTCCACGGCCAGGAGGGACGTGCGGGCCTCGGGGCGACTGTTGGTTCTCGGGTCAGAGGAATGCTGCTGCGGCTTCCCCAGGGCTGGAATGTTTGACTGGGCGTGTCCGAAAGGGACCCGGCTGCACCCCGAGGCTGCCAGGACGGTGCCCTAGGCATGTCAGGCGAGCTGGGGTGCAGGAGAGGAGCCGTGCTAGCCGCGGTCACGTTCGTGCGGGCTGTCTGGGCGCTCGCCCCATCCAGGACATGCCAGCCGCAGCCCACTCTGAGTCTCTGCCGCATTCCCAAGCCGCACCCGGGCCGCCAGGAGCTGGGTCCCACGGCGGGCGCGTCCCTTCCCCGGGGAGGCATTGCTTCTGGTTGGAATGCCTCACTCCTCCGCTTGCTGTTGTTTTTTTCCCCCCTAATCTGTTTCTGCAAGAATGTAGGGCCTGCTCGTTTCTAGAAAACATTTGCAGAGCTCAGCTTGGCTCCAAAGACAGCAGTTCTCAGGGGCCCCCTTGGCAGGCACGGTGTCCTGGTGGCACTGCCCCAGGGGCCTCCCGCCTGGCAGCTGGGGGGGGGCTCTG